TCGTTCCTCGCGCGTCTCGATTACGCCCCGGCCGAGGAAACAGAAATTTCAAATAACCGAGATTACATTTCGCTCGCGCACGCGTGCACGGGTTTTTTGCCGGCGGCCGAGAGGTCTCCGGTTTCCAACCCCTTTGTGTTTACGTTCGCGTCGCGTTTACATTCTCCAGAGAGATTCTTGCGTCAAATTAAAGTCGGCAAAGGTATTACGGGAACTTCGCGGCAGAGAAGTGGAGCGCGAAGGAGTAGCGTCGTCGCGAAAATATTGCGGAGCTGTCGCTTCGCGAAAGCGCACGGCGAGGTAATCTTCGCCGAGGCATCGGCGAAACCATCGTGAGAATTTCACGCCACTCCCGATTATTTCATTCGCGCGTGCGCGCGTCGTTGATGGTCGACCTCGCGATCGAGGTCGGCTCGCGATTCTCTTTTTTTGTTACACCGCGAGATCCGCGAGTCCGTGAAAGTGCCGAAAGAACGAAATTGATCGCGAGTGGTGGTGTGTCGGCGAAATGACAGAACTGAAGTGTCAGAACTGCGTCCCGAAGTGTCGCGCCGCGATTCGAGACGTTCGTTAAACGATTTCGTGAATTCCAATTTCGTCTTCCGTCGAGAAGCGAAATTCGGACGTCCTCTCGAGATAGATGCACATTTTTCGTCTCGAGACACGTCGTCGAGATGTTAACGTGTTAATCGCGTTAACGCCGAATATACTGAGAAGTGAAGTGAGGTGAAATGCAATGTCGACATGTGTGGGACGACACCGGGACGGATGTTGGACGCTACCGGAGTGCCGGATGCGGAACGACGCATCGGGACGGTAGCGACGAGCTCCGCCGATGAAACTGACTGGACATCGGGTAGACCTGGCCTGAACGTCGATGGATTTCAGCGCGAAATTCGTCAGTGAGAGTCGAAATTCAACGCTCGCCGAATAACGTATAATAACAGTTGCGCGCTTTAGTGATAAATTACATTGATTTTCCGCGCGAGTGAATTGATTTTATGTACCGCGGTCGAGATTTATAATCTATCGTTTAAGTCTCGACCAGCGCTAATTCGTGTCTTTAATAACGCTCCCTGAGTCGTGAATCCACTTTGGAATCTTCCAACGTTCTCGGTCAATTCAGTTAAACAGTTCTTTAAATTCAACAGAATTTGCAATGTTAACGTGTCCGCTTGGTTCGTGTAAAATTCTCGCTTTATCAACGAGAACTAAAAGAAATTTCGATTCGAATATGCAAAACTGTGAACGTCATAATTGAATTTCTTTTTGCGGAGGTATATCTTATACATCTATTGGCATGAATTTTTTGATAATATTTTTTTAATAATAATTTGAGGACTCCGGCTCAGAAATCTTAACCGAGGCGCCGAGCGGTTACGATGAAAGTCTCGGGGAAGGATCGCGAGTCGGCCGGCCGGCCGGCTTTTTTCCGTACTTTCCTCTCCGGCCCCGCGACTTATCCCGATAACTCGAATAACGGATCCAATTTCCCCGCGCGCGCGGAATATTCCGGAAAAGCCGCGCGGGCGCGGGAAGATTTAATAAATCCCGCACGTCCTAATTCCATCGGATCCGGGGAGTCGAGTTCGCGTTTAAGTTTGTCTCACGATCTCTCCTCCGACGCGGCTCCCGACCCTCGTCCGCTAATAGCGACAAGTTACTTCTGACCCGTCAGCGGAACAGACCCTTGCGGACGCCTCTATTTTTAGGTCCGGGTCGAACCGCTAGAACGGCGAGAAAACACAAAAGAAAGCAAGCGAGAGCGCGACGCGATGAAACGCGACGCGCCGCGCAACGCGCTCGGGATCGAGGAGAGGAGAAACACGAGGAAGAAGGATCGTGTCTCTTTCTCTCTTTCTCGACGAGCGATATCTCGATGTCGAGAGGAAGAAATCGGATTATGTCCTGCGAGAAGAGACATAGGGATTCTCTCCCGCGACTTCTGGCTTGCAGCTGTGTGCCGTAGAAACGATCGTAAAAAAAGGAGCAGCCTTGCCCGCTGGAAACGACCTATTTATCCTCGCGCGTATAAACTCATCGACATTCGGCGGCGACGGTGGCCGAAAAACGTAAAAACAAAACAAACTGAGAACGGAAACGATACACCACACATAGAACGTCACGGACCGACGCCGTTTTCCGTCGCCTGCGAATTTTTTAATCGGANGGGGGGGGGGGGGGAGAGAGAGAGCTTTGAAGTCGGAAAATACACCACCACGGGGGAGATATCCCCGGAAAATATGAGAATTCCCCGAATGAAACATCACGCGTAATCTTATTCCACGCTTCGTTTTCGGAGCCGCGTGACCGCAAGCGGCGAATTTCGCCGGTTTACCGGTTTAATCGGAGGGAGATCGAATTCGAATATATCGACGCCTCGAGAAATATCGGTTTACCGAACACGTGTGCCCTTTCACCCCGAGCAACCCCGCCCGTGTCTAATGCCGTGTTCGTTCTCCGTTGTGGACGATTTTCGACAGCCGGTCCATATCGAATGTTACCACGTGCCATGTCGAATGCGCTACGTAAAAGAGGAAAGGGTAGAAATAAATAAAACTGCCGCGATCTTACGCGAGAGAGGAGAGAGTCGAGCGCGTGTTGCGCGCGCGAGACCGCGGGGTACTTCGCGATACGCGGAATGTTTTTGTTCCTATTCCTGGAGTTTAATTTCTGCCGCGGGGGAACCTTCGCTAAGGGTTTCGAAATAGAACTTACATTCGCTCTTCGCGACCCTACGGTCCGAGGTTTGCTTCCCCGACGGTTAATATATTATTCGACGGTCGCATTTTGAAACTCGTGATACGCTCTTTCTTTCTTTTTTCTTCTCTTTCTCTCCATCTCTCCCTTTCTCTCTCTCTCTCTCTCTCTCTCTCTCTCTCTTTTTTACCACACAACTGTCACGCGAGAATATATTTTCAACCGGAGGAGAGCGGCCGAGTCGAGCTTGCTGCGTTTACGAATTACGTATAAAATTCCATTCGCCGTTCCGCTGCAAGTTCTTCTCGAAATTTTCCGGTCTCATCAATTTCGCGCGCTGATCAAAAGGCGCATTTCGCCTTATCGGCGGGGAAGCTTTTCGGTTTTCCGCGCGATCAAATATCTACCGCTCGGCACGTCAAACGTCCATTACGTCCCCGTGTGTACGCGCGATAGTCATTTCGACAGCAAACCGCTAATGGCGCGCTTAAAACGCGCGGAAATAGCGTGCTTCATTTTATCGTTCGTTCGACCGCGATTGATAACAATCAAATAACAAGGAGCGGCGAGCTGCGAAAATTTAACTTTGCGCAACCGCGAAATTACGTGGTCCTTAATATCCTGAATTTGACTCGAATAGTTCTAGCTTGAGAAAAAAAAAAGATCGAGAGAGAGAGAGAGAGAGAGAGAAAAATAGCTCGACCGTTTCTAATTTCAACGCGTCTCTCTTGTCGCGGGAAAAAAAATGTATCCTCGCAATCGAACGAACGTTCCCTTCTCGACGAGAAGAACATCGCGGACGGTTAGCAGCAGCGGACTCTCGCCGGAGCAAATCCTTAAAAATGCGACGGATCACCGGCGGCGACAATTCCGAAGGGCGAAATTCTTTTGTCACTTCAGCTTACGCGCTCCCTTCTCGAAGAGCCGAGGCTCTTCGAAATCTGCTTATCGAGACCTGAAGTCTTAACGCTATTGCGCGAGACGCCTTCTCGCCGGAACCGAACTAATCTGTTAAGAGCCGGTTGCACCAATGCCGCTTAGAGCTAACTTTCGTTAAGTAAATTTCCCCCGTCTATATTCGTGCGTTATGGTGTGTGCGGGTTTAATCTGAAAAAAAGGCGGCCCGCCGAGGTAAGCGAATTATTGATGCGACCCGTAATAGACGGGAATCTGAGGAATTTAATTCTTAACGCGCGTGTGCGCGCGAGCAGACGTCTTTCCGAATTTGTAAGATTTCACGAATACCACGATTTGAATTAAGGCAGGTGTAAAATTAGCCGTAGAATTATAAGTCTCTCGTGATCCTGATTCTGAACCGACATTTGGAGAAAATATAGTTACAGGTGACAACTGTACGAGTTTTGTGCACAGAATTAATATATATAGTTTAGTTAACTATTTTATATAACTATTGCATCTAAATCTGAATGGTTACGATAACTGTAGTTGCCGTAAACTACGGTTTATGCTATGCTGCATCATTTAAATTTAATTGAGATAATTATAGAAACATCGTCGTTACTTAGCAAAGATATTTTCTGTTCTTAGCTGAATAACTAATCGCTTATTTGCGACTTTAGAGACATAAAAGTAGATATAAAATTCGATGTAAAATTAGTGAGCAAAGTGAGCAAACAGTCACTGACAGAACGTTGTTGCGAACGATATTCAGTAGCTTGTAACGTTTTTTAATATACAATTTTTGTAACCGTTGTATCAACGTTATTACGAATAAAACCCAGCACTACGATATTTATGAAACATTTTTACAATATTCGGATCGGATTATTTGGTAATGCTTTCGAAATATTTGTCGAATATCAGATGAAAATATTCAAAGACTCACGCATAAAAAAATCAACATTTTCACATGTTGATCTAATGTTCTTTGTTTACTGGATAGAAATTGTCTATCCCGCGGATTCTGATCCTAATCTTTTCGCTAATATTTACCCCGAATCTCCGGCATTCGCTGGGATTCGAGTCACCTCTTTCCTACTCGAAGATCCCGAGCTCGTCGCTTACTTCACAGAGGTGTTTTCTGTTCTTATTTCTGAACGCGTGATAACCGCTCATTTACGGCTTAAGATATAAAATTAGATATAAAATTACAGCAGTCGCATGCGGATTCTACTTCCGACGTTTTTTAACTAATGTTTACCAGGAACTTCCGGCGTTCGATTTGTTTTCGTTTCTTCCCCGGACGTTCTTGAGAGTCGGTCGTTACATCTCGCCGAGATGTGTTTACTGTTCTTAGCTGAATAGGTAACCGCTTGTTTACGGCCTCAGACGTGACTTACCCCGTATCGCCGACAGCAGCAGCAAACAAGCCGCCAAGCTCCTCATTTTCGCTGATGGATCTGCGTTGTCTCGCGCACCACTGCCCCGCACCTCGGACCCGCTTCGGACGATCGTTCGATTTTCCCGCCGTTTCGCGCTCGATCAATTCGATTTATCGCCTTCGCCCCTCGTCGCGTTCTCCGGACGATTTTTGCCTTCCCTGTCGGCTTCTTCTACGAGCCGTTGGATGAAACAAATACGCTATAAGTTCGGTAAACGATAAATCGTGTTCACGCATAATCGTCGTTAAACGAAGCTCTACCGTGCGATTATCAATTAATGTCAGAGATTTTCGATTCTATTAAATCCTACTTTCTACCCGTGAAAGAGCATTACAGTAAAACCCGGACTCGACGCCCATTACGCTTTCTCTCTCTCTCTATCTCTTTCTCTCTTTCTCCCGCGAGCCCTCGTATCTCGAGATGAGCCGAAAACGACGGAGATCTTTAGGAGGAGCATCTTCCGTTTCCGTTGCATAATAATTACAAGGCGACGAGTTCTTCGCTATCACACATGCACGCGTGTGCGATAACGTTTCGGGGAGAGTTTGCACTTCAATGAGATACAGAAAGAGAGAGAGAGAGAGAGAGAGAGTAATTATATCGTGAGTGGAATTACGCGACAAAAAGAGCGAGCTTTTCCATTATCATCGAGCGTCTTTCTCACAAACCGAGAAACGGAGATATGCGATTGATATACCACTGTCGTTGTGTCCGACGGCTCATCTCGCGGTGATCGCCCGAGAGGAGAGCGCACGATGTCAAGTACCACGCGGATGCTGTGACTGACGCCGGAAACGGTGTGGTTCGCCGGTTACGCTTGCACACCACGCAGCATGCCACAGGACCAGTTCGAGGACCGAGTTGGACTGAGTACAAGAGCCCGTGTTCCGCGGGCTCTTAGCGACTCTTGCGGTCTATCTCTCTCTCTCTCTCTCTCTTCCTCTCTCTCTCTCTCTTCTCTCTCTTTCTCTCTCTCTCTCTTTCTCTCTGCCTCTCTTAGCCCTACCTAAGGTACCGTAAGTGTATTATGGTACATACGCTGCCACTCCGTTGCCCTCCTCTCCGGATAATGTTTTCTTCTTACATTATCCGACAAGCGCGCTCGGTAAGCTCGTACTTTCAAAATGATGCTACGGCTCGTCCAGAGTACATTTGTCTCAACTTGCAAAGTACATCGATTCGAGAGACCAATTAGTAAGTAGAAGTAACGGGGATTGGCATAAAAGACCGCCTGAAAGCTCTTACGGATCCTGGACTTATTAATAAAGCTATTTTTAAGGAGGTTTTCCAATGGTGTCGTTAAAATTGTTGACATTCACTCAGATGCTAAGGAGAGAAAAAAGTGGGAAATCAGTCTTTTTAGCATATTATGAAAATGCGAGAGATAACGGAGAACAAAGTTGTATGAATTGAGATCTCTCTCTCTCTCTCTCTCTCTCTCTCTTTCAGTTCATTTGCCGAGAAATCAAATATAATTATTTCAACTGAAACATGTGATTCAATTATAGTTGAGACTTGATAATTTTTTAATCTACCGTTATGATGGGAACTTTTGAACCAGTAATTGTTCAAGAGGTGACAAAGTTCTTACAGTTGTTTATAATTCTTTTCTCAATCGTCTTATTGTTATAACAGTTCTTCGCATTGAGCTTCTTGTTTGTCGAAGCTAAAGCAGGGAAAAAGAGGTTTTCACGCTGTTATTATTGGTTCTACCTAAATCCCGACTAACTCCAATCATAGTGTTTATGTTTACGAATCTCATTGCCGGACTGTTTGGAAGTGTAGTATTTGCATTTGCAATGTTTGGAAGTGTACTTATTTTTTTAATAAACTTTACCATGGTTGATAATTACAGTCTATCTCGTATTTTCTGGTATATAATTACGATGGAAATTATAATAATTTCCACTATCCCATTAACTATCCCCTTATAATTCAGCGAAAATTTAATACGAAATTATTTTATTATATTCAATTTCTGTCAATAAACCCGATTAAACTATTAATGTATTCGGATGTGCATTAGGGAATCTTTTTTGTTTTTTTCCTCTTTTAGAAATATTTTAGTATCTTTTTCTCATGAATCTCTTTTACCTAGTGACTTGCACCATCCAATTATCGTTTTCGCATCACCGTTTTCCAAATATTATATATCTCTATCGATGTTTATTATAAAATAATGTTTTGAACGTGCTGACTAAAATGCAATAAATAACTATTTATGCAATATTGATTGAGATAATAACTTTGCGAATATTTCTGCCAATGAATGAAGCGACTTTCTTTATACGCATTTAAA